GGCTGCTGAACTCCACTGTGCAGTACGTGCCCTACTGTGGTGCCCTGAGCCCTCGCACCGCCCTAGAGCTGGTGCGGCAGTATGACCTCGTCGCCGACTGCTCCGATAATGTCCCCACCAGGTACTTGGTGAACGACGCCTGTGTCCTGGCTGGGAAACCCCTGGTGTCTGGCAGTGCCCTCCGGCTGGAGGGGCAACTAGTCGTGTACAACTACCAGGGAGGGCCCTGCTACAGGTGTCTCTTCCCCAAGCCCCCGCCACCAGAGACAGTGACTAACTGTGCAGATGGGGGAGTGCTGGGTGTCGTGCCAGGCATCATGGGGTGCATCCAGGCCTTGGAAGTACTGAAGATTGCTTCGGGAATGGGTTCCTCCTTCAGTCAGTTCATGCTGATGTTTGATGCCCGTGAAGGGAGATTTCGCAACATCAAGTTAAGACCAAAGAAGCCAGACTGTGCTGTTTGTGGTGACAATCCATCTGTCACCTGCCTTCAGGATTATGAGGCATTTTGTGGTTCTTCTGCAACGGACAAGTGTAGGACTTTACATCTGCTGTCCAGTAAAGACAGGATATCTGTGGAGGAATACAAAAAACTGTTGGATGAGCAAGTTCCTCATGTATTGTTAGATGTTCGTCCACAGGCAGAAGTGGATATCTGTCGCCTGGTACATGCTGTCCACATTCCTTTGAGTAAATTGGAAGAAAAAGATGAAGAATATCTGGAATATTTAGAAAAAAGAATTTGTGAAGAAAAGCAGAGAACTAATGGCCAAACATCTTTTCCTGTCTATGTTGTTTGCAAATTAGGAAATGACTCCCAGAAGGCTGTAAGAATTCTGCAGGAGATACCCGTCAAAGAATTTGGTTCTGTGATACCTAAGGATATTAAAGGGGGACTCATGGCTTGGGCCAGTAAAATTGACCCAACGTTTCCTCAGTATTAGAAATTTAAATGGTGAAAAAATATGAATTTTCATAGTGAATTCCATACAGTTTCATCTTTTCTGTGTAATGTGGATAAAACAGGATATAGAAATACCATGTTGCTTTTTTTAATCATAATTTTTAAAAAATTAGATATTTTTGTAGATATGTGATTTTTTTTTAATACGAATGTGAAACTCCATGGAAATGGAAAGAAATGTGTTTCTTGGTTACTTATTTAATAGTGAAAACTTGGAATAACTACTTAATTGTGCATGTGATAATTGATAATGACTCCTAATCAGTAACTGTACCCTGGAGAATGACAAAGCACAGGAGCCAAGTGTTGAACCTTTTTACTCATTCTCCTAACTGCCTAACAAATTGAAACTGTGCATGCAGTGATTAAAAAAAAACCCTGTTAATCTCTAGCTGGTCAGTAGCACTATTAAGCCTATCATGGGGAATTGCCACGACAAGGCTGACAAGACTGTTTTGGCCAACATCTTTCAGTTCTTTGTAGAAGCATTGTGTACTTAGAAAAGAGAAGTGCTCACTGCAAATAACAGCACCCACAGTAAGGGTGTTTTGTTAAGAACTTCCAGGGCCATCCGTCCTCATTTGTTGGCTGGCAAAAAAAATGTATTCTCTGACTTTTATAGAGAAAATGAGGTTAAATGTTAATAAGACAATAGTTGTAAAACATACAGAAAATGCTTTTGTGAGGACTTAGAAGATTTCAGACATTGAGAGATGAAGAGGAGGTGAGAGGAAAAAAACCCAGGTGTGTGGCCTCCCTTCTGCAAGTAAGAAAACATCTTTCATAAGTTTTCTCCCTGTTTGTTGTGGTGGTTGCATATCCCCACTTGTACTGCATTATTTTATTAACTGGCATGAAGAGCTACACATGTCTAACAAGTTCTCATAGATAAACTGAATGAAAAGAAAGAAATAAATAGCTTCTCAACAGAGAGCTGCCTGAGTCCTCATCACTTAAGCATAGTAATTATATTCTTATTATATTAATTAAGTTATGTATTTCTTTTACTTTCTGAGGAGATTAAAAAAAACACCTTTCGTGACTAATTTTTGCATTATACAAGGGCAAAAAAAAGACTAGTATCATTATAGTTAGTAGCCAAAAAGGCATATTTTAGTAAAATACATTTGAGAACATCAACACTGCCTACTTTATTATAACATGCCATGGGTTCTAGCAATAGCAATCCTAGTCTCTTGTGAGGGAAAGACGTGAATTTATAAATACGGAGTCGTATCTCTTGCAATTTGGAGGACAATGAAAACATTGAAGGCCATGACTTTAAAGTAAGCATTAGTGCTTTGTGGTGTGTAGTGAGACAGTCATAAGACCTTTTAAGACAGGTTGTGGAGGCTTGGTTCAGCCAGAACATCTGGCTTCTGCTGGGTTTCAGCTTTTGAGGATTGGAAACCAGAGGGGCTTGTTTGTAATGCCTGACCTATGTTTTAATTTTTCTTTATTTACTGTGGTGTCAAGAAGAGACTGCAACATAAAAGGTAACAGTAGCAGTAATTGTCTAATATACAACCTTCCAGTGCTAAACAACAGATGGTATGTCAGGTATCCACCTGACCTGAAAAAGTGATTCCTTTCCAGTCATTCAAAGCAAGGTGAAACTATGGACTTGGGGAGAGGGAAAAGACTGTACGGATTATTTCTACCCACTGGAAGAAGCACTCAGATTTAGAATCAAAAAGTCTTTTCCCTTGTTACAACATTTTAGCAGCAGATGTACGCAAACTCTGAAACAAAAAGGAGGTGACATTAAAGCCTGTGGTGTTTGGTGGAAGATTTTTTGTAGCAAATTTATAACTGCATTTCTTGTAGCACATTTTCAATCAGGAAACCAGACTGTGAGTCTTTGTGCTGTATGGAAAACAGTTAACAACTCAAGGATCTGGAGAACTCTGTGGAAAAACAGTGATAAGGATGAACGATAATGGACCAAAACCATAGAATGATATCAGAACTGGCAAAAAAAGCTAATTCATCAAGTCAGGCTCACGAGAGGCAAACTTTCAAGGATCTTTTCTATTAAAATTGATTTTTGGAAAGACCATTCTTGCCAATATGCAGGGACTAAGGTCCAGAGTTCTTATAGGAGTGCAGCATCTGAAATGCATCTGTTATTTTTGCATAAAGACAGGTCTATGCAAATTGGTCCATGCAATATAGAGGTGGTTACTCTCGAAAGAACTAGTGTCTCAGTTCTGATCTCAAGGGAGTATGCAAAATATAAGTCTCTTCAGAAGAAAAAAACCTGTTCGCTTCCTTGACTTAGGATAGCAATTAAATTCTCAGCAATCGTGAAAACATCTGCCATGCACACTAGATAAAGATGGCATCCATCGTGCTTGTCAGAATTTTAATCTTTACATGCTACGGCTTTTATTTCATTTTTAAGTTTAATTTCTTTTTTTTCCTTTGGCTTGCTGAAGTGATACACAAGTCTTTCTCTAAATACAGTCCTCACATGGTGCTGGACTCTTTGGAGATACTGAAACATCAAGGGTCATAGGACCGTAACTAAGCCAAAACCATTCTTATTATTGGAAATGTATCTTTTGTTTTGACTTCTTTTATTTCTTGAACTCTGTAAAACATGTAGTGGTTTCTTTGTTCACCAGGAAGTATAATAGCAGAACTCTACTTAGAAATTCTAAGAGAAGCAATAAAGCTGTGTAATTTTGTATTGCTGCCGAAGTACTGTCTAAATATTAGTACATGTTGACACTGTGAACAAAGACAAGCTGCTTTATTCAAGGAGCTTATAGCATAGTCGGTCTAAGATGTGTTATCCGACAGGGTAAGGTAAGTCAGCAGAGTGCATTTTTCCCTCTGCCCCTTGCTCTTGATGTCATGAGGTTGCTTTTTGCTTATTTGGTTACATTGTCTTTTAGAATGGCTTACTAGAATTTGGCACAGGAACTAAACAGGAAACCGCTTCCTGTTCGAGGTTTAGGGTAATAGGAAGTGGCTGCAGCATTTATTCTGGATTGCTGCATCTTAATGTCTCCCACATTTAGGTCTATGGGTAGCCTCAGAGTTCAGGCACAGAGCTAAATACCTAAACCCTTTCTGTCCTGGGACATGGTTATTATTTTAAGGCAAGGCAAATCAAGCTGGTCTAGCTTTCATGCAAGTCTAAAAGGTGTCTGCATACAAGGTACAACTAATGTACCTTGATAAGCTAAAATCCTCCTTATTTTGGTGGCAGGAGTCTCTCATAACAAAACTCCAATAAATTCAACAACGACGTACTATCAAAGTGTACGATTTAAAAAAAAAAATCCCCAACAATTAGTAGAATTATTTGTAGAAAAATGTATAAAGGATATGTCCAAAACTAGTTCTTCAAGTTTGTATACCAGAATTTTAGATATGTGACCATCTTTATATTATCCTATTTGTAAGCATAATTTCTCATAAAAATTTAACTGTTCAAAACAACACTATGCACGAGATGCTTAAAATACTGCAAGCACGAGTTTGTCTTTTTTTAAATATGAAAGCTCTAAGCTGTCCTTTGTAAAACTACATCACGAAGAAAAATTTTAAGGACGTTTGCTAGGTGGCACTGCAAGTTAATAAACCAAATCATTCTCTAGGTTATAAGATGCAATTCAACCTTAGCAAGAGCTGAGGCTTACTTGTAAAAATGTGTTGTTGTACAGTTCTTTTGAAAAAAGGCTGAGGAAATAGAATAAAATGGAGCAGGGCAAGTGAATAGTACATACAATATTCCAAGAAAATAATGTAATGGAAATTGCCTTTCTAGGTAGGTTGTCAAAGCATTGTTTATTTGTTTCAGAGACAACCTGAGGTTTTTTTCACATGCTATTTCAAAACACTTCTGCAGCCAAAATGGATAATTGTACAGAAAAGGGCTACTGAAAACACTAGCACAAACTTAAATGTAGATCTAAAATCTACAACAAGTCACTGCAGAGTCACTGCTAGTACATTCTTAATACTACAAAAATCATTGCAGATTTTCTTACCTGGTTAGGGCAGGGTTTTTTTAAAAGTCAAGGATATTTCTTTCCTGTCCTTCTTGTTTTGTAAAATGGAACTTAAGACATAAAATCTAAAAAAACCAAAAAACCAAACAAAAAAAACCCAAAACAAAACAAAACAAAAAATTGAAGTCCTCTGAGTCTGAGAATCCCCACACAGCAAATTGGACTTCTTTGGAAAACAAGAACTGAACTTGCAGATGTGATGTATCAAACCAAGGCCATAGAATTATCTGTGCCCAGAGCTCAGACACATTCCTGTGGCAATGAAACTTGGTTGTGAAGCTTAGTGTCCCACATAGTACTGTAGAAACATTTCATGCCCATCTTCAGTATTTAAAGGATAAAAATAAAGTCCTGCAAGTGTGTTCAGTGCAAATGTCATGAATTAACCTAACTGCAAGCTGAAGTTTCACAGTAACTTCAGATAACAAAAGCAGCAACGGGCTATCCTCTTCTAGCTCTCTAAGGAGAAGTGGGGTAACACCTGATGAAACCAGGGGATGAAAATAAACATTAATTTGCTTAAAGCTTCTATAATTATATGCATCTTTTAACTTAGGATTTATTAAAATAGATTTGAAATCTTTTCTCTTTAGAATCTTTAGCTTCATGTGTGGGATTAAGCTTGTATTACTTTAATGCTGCAATTAAACATCTGCCTTATGCTAGCAATGGGGAGTCTGGCAGACCTCTTGGATCATGGATACAAATCAAAAGGAGAGGTCTTGTGAAGTCGTGGCACTTGCATCATCTTGAATGCTTGTGATTTTCATTGAAATCCAGGTGCTGGTCAGAATATAGAAATGAAAAGATGGTGTATTTGTTATTTCCTGCAGCAGACTATTGCAATATTACATATGAAATGGCTTAAATCATGTCCTGGTTAATTAGGTGAGTTGTTCCTGAAACTGAGTCATTCTATCACGGGAGATTAAAGACTTGCTTATCGCTGTATATTTTA